CGTCAAGTGAAAACGATCGTGGTCGAATCGCGATAAACCCGCGCAAACGGTGGTCAAACCAGGATTGACGGTTAGGAAGATTTTGTTGTGTATTTGGTGGGATTGGCAGGGAATTATCTACTATGAGCTGCTCCCCTACGGCCAAACTCTTAATTCGGACCTGTACTGTCAACAATTGGACCGTCTGAAGGAAGCAATCGCGCAGAAGCGGCCAGCTTTGGCCAATAGGAGAGGAATTGTGTTCCATCAGGATAACGCCAGGCCATACTCATCGATAGTAACTCGCCAGAAGCTCCGGGAGCTTGGTTGGGAGGTTCTTTTGCATCCACCTTATAGTCCGGGCCTGGCACCAAGTGAATANTAGTCCGGACCTGGCACCAAGTGATTACCACCTGTTTCTGTCTATGGCGAATTTTTTTGCTGGTAAAAAATTCGCCTCAAGAGAAGCTCGTGAAAATCGACTTTCCCAGTTTTATGCCAATAGGGACAAGGGTTTCTATGAGAGAGGCATAATGAAATTACCTTCAAAACGGCAACAAGTTATCAAACAAAACGGTGCATATTTGACCTAAATCGGATCATTGTAACTATATACTATCATTGTTACTTATAAATAAAGCCTCCAATTTGATACAAAAATAATGGATTACTTTTTACTAGACCTTATACTATATTTAACGGCGAATTTATCGCACAAACCAACGTCACTGTTAAAGGAATCCCTACGAAAAATCAACCGCTGTTTCGCACCTTCGATCTCGACGATTGGTACACCAGACACGCGATCGATAGAATTTTAACGTCTTTGGAAGATTTTCAAGAACGCGACAGCGGTTGGGCGTTATCGCGCATTCTGAATCTCCTTTTGAACATTAACAAATACATTCCTATGCGCGCGGGATGTTGGATACAAATACCTGTGCAATATCGAGCTAAGAATGCAATCGTTAACCTGCGTACGAACAATAACGCAAGTTTCGCGTGGGCGATGACCGCCGCTCTCTATCCGGTGAATCATCACGCGGAGAGATGCAGCCAATATCTGCATTATTCAACAGTATTGAAACTCAATGGCATCGAGTTTCCGATGACATTGAAACAAATCGCTTGATTCGAACGTCTTAATGAACTGTCCGTTAATGTGTTCACTTCTCAAAAGGGAGAAGGTGGACGAAAAAAAAGAACACCACAGATATCGTTCCTCTGCGCCTCACCGACAATAAGAGAGACGTTCATGTAAATTTATTATACCTGACAACACCAGCACATAATAATAATAATAATAATGATACTGACAATACTCGCGTCACATGTCATTTCGCGTGGATAAAAGATCTGTATCGATTACTATCATCACAAATAAGTCGAAATACGCGAAGGAAACACATCTGCGAAAGGTACGGTAATATCTCCTCCTCCTTCTCTCACCCCAAGGAAGAAAAATATAATAAATGTTTTTTTGAAATACAAAATGTATCCTTCTTCTTCTTCTTCCTTTTTATCTTACAGATGTCTTCATTACTTCTACACGCGTGACAAACTGATCGCTCACAGCGTCGACTGCGGTGTCATGAACAATTACGCTATCATATTGCCAAACAACGAGAACAAATGGCTCACTCATCGCAATTACGGTAGAAAGGAACGCCATTGGTTATCTATGCGGATATGGAATGCATATTGGAAAAAAGAGAGAACAACGAAGAGGTCCCCGTTGTCAACAGCGGCTCTTACGCGTATCAACATCACAAAGCGTTCAGCGTGGGCTATTATTTGTGCTGCGCGCTCGACGACGACGACAAACTCGCTTCCGGTCTTCACTTTCGTCGCGGAGACGACTGCATCTCTTGGTTTGTCGACGAACTCGGCGCCATTGCGGAGCACGCGTACACGTTACTGTCCGCAAACATAAAACCTATGAAGAAACTAACCCCGACGGAGGAACGCGATTTCGCCAGCGTCGACGCGCGCTGCCACATATGCGGAGGACCATTCGAATCGGACGACGACGACAATGCGCGATCACTGTCATCTAACGAGTCGTTACCGAGGCCCCGCACACTCACGCTGCAATCTCAATTATCGCAATTCGCATATCATCCCCGCGTTCTTTCACAATTTATCGAGTTACGACGCACACTTCATAATCGAGCGAATAGCCAACTCGTTCGAAGGCAGCGTCGATCTGCTGCCGATCAACAAGGAAAGGTACCTGTCCTTCACGAAAAACATCAAGTGCGCACGCGTCAAGTGGAGACAGCGGGTGAAACTACGTTTCGTAGATTCGTTCCGATTTCTCAGCACGAGCCTCGATAAATTGGCCTCGTTTCTCGACGAGGATAAACTACGCGCGATACGATCGACGTTCTCGCACCTAACCGCAAGTGATTTCGCGCTGCTCACACGCAATGGTGTGTTTCCGTTAGAATACATCGACAGTGCCGCGCAATTAACGGAAACCGAATTACCGTCACGTGACGCTTTCTACAGTTCGTTGAGCAACGAAATTGTCAGCGAGGCCGACTACGAACACGCCGAGACCGTGTGGAGACGATTCGACGTACGCAATTTCGGGGAGTACAGCGATCTGTATTTGAAAACGGACGTAATGCTGCTGGCTGATATCTTCGAGAACTTTCGCGACGTGTGCACCGACAGTTACGGCTTAGACCCGGCGCATTATTACACTCTGCCGGGCTACACGTGGGACGCCATGCTAGAACACACCAATGTGCGTCTCGAATTACTGACCGACATCGACATGGTGCTGTTCATAGAACGCGGTATACGCGGCGGACTTAGCCAATGCTCGAACAGATACGCGCGCGCCAACAATCGATATATGTCGGACAGATCGAGCAGCAGCAGCGAGGACGCGTCTTACGAATCGTATCTAATGTATTACGATGTGAACAATTTGTACGTCTGGGCAATGTCCGAACCCCTGCCTTACGGTGACTTTCATTGGCTCGACGATACCGATATCTTGCGCCTAGACGTAACGTCCGTTTCGCCGATTTCAGCGATCGGTTATATCCTGGAGGTCGATATCGCGTATCCGCATGAACTGCACGACGCTCATGCGGATCTGCCGTTTTGCCCGACGCGCGAATGCCCGCCCGCTGAGCGTAGCCGCAGCAACAACAAAAAATTACTGACCACACTGCGCGATAAATCGCGCTACGTCATTCACTATCGATGTCTGCAGCAATGCATAGCGCACGGGCTCTTCCTTTCCTGACGCGAATTCACCGCGCCTTGCGATTCGCGCAATCACCGTGGTTCCGCGGCTACGTTGAACTCAACACGGACTTTCGCATCGGCGCGTCCAAAGCGTTGGAGAATAATCTCTACAAGCTCATAAACAACGCGGTATTCGGCAAATGGAAAACGTGCGCGAACACCTGGACGTGCGTATTGTGACGCGCTGGGACGGACGTTACGGCCTGGAGGCGCTGATCGCGAAACCGAATTTCCACAGCCGGAGCATCTTTTCCGAAGATTTAATGGCCGTGGAGTTGTGCCGACTGCGCGTACAATTTACGAAACCGATATACGTGGGCATGTGCATACTCGAAATCTCGAAGACGCGCGTGTACAAAGTTCACTAAGATTACATGCTGCCGCTGTATCGCCACATCGACGATAATATTACTAATAAAGATTCGTCGTACTGTCGTCTATTGTACACCGACACTGACAATATGATTTATCACATCGTCACAAACACAACGACGACGAATCCGTACGAATGTATGCGGCGCAATCTAGCGCGATTCGACACGAGCGATCCGTCGGCCAATGCGTACGATATGCCGCGCGCGAACAAGCGCGTGCCCGGTCTTATGAAGGACAAAAATTGCGGCGCGATCATGAGCAAATTCGTCGGATTACAAGCGAAGATGTATGCCCATCGGGTGGACGGTCGCGAGGACACGAAGAATAAAAGGGGTGTACAGACACATCGTCGCGCAGCAAATCACATTCGACGATTACACGCGACGTTTGCGCGACGCGACGGAACACACGACCCGTCAATCGTGCATAAGTTCGAGATTGCACGAAGTGTACACCATGTCGGAAAGAAAACTTGCTCTAAGTCCGCACGACGACAAGCCTTACGTAATACCCGATTCCGCGAGCGGCGCGACTCTCCCGTGGGGACATTACAAAGTATCACCCGATGCCGCGTCTCTGCACATACAATAAAAACAAATAATTAAACACACATATTTTGTCTTCTTTCTTTCTTTCTATCTATCTCTCATCCTCTTTCCTTTTTTTCTTTCACATCAAAACAAAATACCAAACGCGCGCGTCATATCGATATATTGCGAATCACGCGAGAGAGAGAGAGAGAGAGAGAGAGAGAGAGAGAGTCCACGTACACGACCTAACATCAACTACGAAGAATTACGCGCGCGTGTGTCGCGGAGCAACACGGAAGACATCTCGCAGAGCGAAACTGAACCCGGGTGCCAGGTGGGGTGCGGGGAGCGGGGAAGATTAGTTCTTCCCCGCTCCCTGCACCCCGCCCGACGCCACAAGGTTTGAGACACACATTGCTCAACTACTGCGGTGGGTCTTGAGGCGATACTTTGGTCGATGGAAACTGTTTAACAATGACTCCCACTTGTCTTAATGGCAGAGACAAATATATTTCACACCGTTATGACTGCGGTCTTGAAAGTACATAGAAAGTATGGAGCCCGAGTTCCTCAACGTATTCAATGCTCCTACTTTTATTTGCGAAATGACGCTACCGAAATAAGATATCTCCGAGTCGCTATTAGAATGTTCCCGCGATAATACACTCTGAAGGCGAGACAAAACAATATCCCGGCGATACAACATGACCGAATGACCGCGTTACCGTCCATTTAATCTGATACGACCCCGAACTGCGACTCTGCTTGCCCACTCCCTGAAAATAAAACGACGTCCCTGCAGTTAAGTCCGTCACCTCGTCCGTTACCCACGACCCAAGGCCCTCGATCCTTTCCCGTTTTGACCCTCCGTCCCGATTCCGCGAATATTCAGCGGCTTTAATGCTCGCGCTCGATGATCAACGGTCCACGGATTATATGGCTTGCACGCGGGACTTTTACCACGGCGGTATGCTGACGGTTACAATAGCGGTTTTACGGCGCCAAGCAGCCCGTTCGTTACGCGAAGCGATTCCGGCGGATTACAATAAATCTCGGATTTACGATCGCCGCTCATTTGAAGGGCTGGCCTCGCAGATGAAGCACGATTAACCCCTTCGCTGCCCTCGACAGCAATTAAATATCTTTTTGCTTTAGTAACTACGGCGGGAACTACACTCAATCAGAACGACACCGGCTCTCGCTCACAATTACAACGAGCAGCACAACTTCCATCGCATTCGCACGCTCGATCGTCGTTGGCTTGTTATTTCTTTGCAACGCACACGGAGAGTTGCTCGCTATATCATGCCCGGCACTTCATACACGGAAGGCACCAACGATCGCCCCAGTCGTTTCATCCCCCGTGAATCTTTACGCGCGACACACGCGCGCCTCAGCATTCGTCGATGATAGCTCGATCTCGGAAGCATAGTCGGTCAGCTTAGAGCTGTCGCTGCCGGTCTTAATTACTTGCCTGTTATCCTGCCAGTCCCGTCCGACATTGAGTATTTTCCAGCCTGCAAAAAGTAAAATCTGAGAAAGCGTTTGTTCAACGACGTCCCTGCGTCGGCATATTTTATGAGACGCTAAAAGGTAGACAATTCACCTGACAGTATGCTCACGGCGGTTGCGTCCTTTCTCGTCGGTCGCTTCGCTGTCCTCCTCCACGGCGAATGTTTCCTCTGCGATCTTCACTCTTTCGCCGTTTAGTCACACGCGGCTATTGCACACGTTCTGATTAAAAATATACACGCTTTCGACCCGCTTATGGGACAGGAAGCGCTGTGATGGACGCCCTACAAGCTAACACGTCACAATATATACGAGGTCTTTTCAAAAAGTATCGTGAATTTTGAATTTCCGCGGGTTACGTATATTTGATTTTCGATTTTTTTGTGGCGTTATGTTGGTACTCATGTCCCTCATTTATGCCGACAAGTTCGGCCATTTTGAATATTCAGTTTATCTTTGACAGCTGTTTTGCTTGGACGTGTTTTGGCTCGTCTTCGATTTTTGCCTATTCCAAAAAATAAATCAAAGAATCTGTATCAAATTTTGTGTGAAAAACAAAATTAAGTGCGCGGACGCATTCCGAATGTTGACTGTGGTATATGGTGAAGCTACCTTGGACCGAAGCAACGTTTATCGGTGGTACAAAATGTTCTCAGAGGGCCGAGAAGATGTGAACGACGAAGAGCGTGCCGGACGCCCGAGCACGTTAACAACAGACGAAAACATTGATGAAGTGAAGAAAATAGTATTGGCTAATCGTCGAATCACGGTTAGAGAAGTTGCTGAGAACCTAAACATATCGATTGGCTCGTGCCATTCGATTTTTACTAATGATTTGGGCATGAGACGTGTCGCCACGAAATTTGTACCAACGCCCCTGCTCACACATCGTTGCTTGTGCGCGAATTTTTGGCCAAAAACAACACACTAATGATGCCGCAGCCACCGTATTCCCCAGACCTGGCCCCCTGTGACTTTTTCTTGTTCCCGAAACTGAAGAGGCACATGAAAGGACGACGCTACGCTACGATTGAGGAGATAAAGACGGCATCGAAGGAGGAGCTGAACAAGATCACAAAAAATGATTTTTTGAAGTGCTTCGAGGATTGGAAAAAACGTTGGCACAAGTGTATAATATCTGATGGGGATTACTTTGAAGGAGACAAAATAGATATTCATGAATAAATAAATAATTTTTGAAAAAACACAAAATTCGCGATACTTTTTGAACAGACCTCGTATATACGAAAGCGGCCTGATAAGTAGTAGGATTTGTGCATGGTGACGCCACTGTAGCAAAACCGGTTGAACCATCATATAGCCCCATTTTTCACACAATGCCTGTCAAAATTTTAGCCTTATCCGTCCATTAGTTTTTGGTTGGCAGCCAATTAAAGTGGACGCCTCAGCCATTGTCGTCAATACGGAAAAAGAGCAATATCGTTTGGTGATTTTGTTACGTCCTAAGTATCTCAGAAACAATGAACTCCTTTTTTATATAAGTACATTTGAAAAGCAGACAGACTCCGTGGAAGAGCTATCGAAAAAGGGATAAGGTTACGATTGATCGTCGTCAAACGCGTCGTATATTTTCCAGCGTCCGTCACCCTAAGCGCATTCCTTTTTTTTATGATCATAAAACAAACAAACTTAAGCAAGCGCTGCTATAAAATGACACGTTCGCACGTCGCCTAAATGCGTCAAGGGGCCTCCCAATGCGTCTGCGATCTTATCCGCCTTTGTATACAGACGGTGGAACAAAGGCCCTTCGATGCGATTAGGTTTCTACGATTAGGTTCTTAAGATTATTTATGTCAACCAAATGACACTAGGAATTTTCCAGAGTAACCGTCTTCCACGCATGCTCCTCTCATTGGCGATCGTCATCTACCACCCCTAAAGATCTTCCCTATATAAACTTCACTCTCTTGCCGCGAGCACTTCTTACCTCTTTTTCCTGGCTCGCTGGACCATCGTCACGTGTCGTTGTTGCAATTCTTATATAGCGACTTAGCCTTAGATATTCACACCACGATCAGTCCGGAGGCTCTAGCTTCGCGAACTCTTCACTGAGTGATTCGGCAGTTTTTATAAATAGTCATTCAGATATTTCGCAAATAGTTCGACCGTCTGAGTTGAATAATACCACGAGTGCAACCATTCAAACGACCAGACGATCCAACTCTCGAAAGAAGTACCAGCCGTCTGAGAAAGTTCCGCATCTGCAATCCAGTACGAGTACGAGTAAGTACCCACCTCCGTTTATATTCATCCACATTTGCTCCGTTCCTTCGCATATTAATACCTCCCATATCGTAGTAAATACCCTACGTGGAGAGGATAGGCTCGAGGCCCTCAGGCTCGTACTTTGAGACTTAAACGAGGCTGGCGACGATACCTTAGCCGCATAGCTCAGAGCTTTTTCCAAGCTCTTAACCCCTGATAGGAATTCACAGTCACCAACCCCTTCTGACGGGAATACCCTGTCAATACTTCGCGGTTCCCCTCTCGCTCCTTCCTACTCGCCAGATCCCAATTACCAACCACCAACCTCTCGTATACAACCCTATCGCGATACTCC